TTAAAGTAGGACTTTGGATTTTATTCTAAGTGTAACAAGGAATTGAGGGAGGATTCTTCTTTTTTTTTTCTTTTTAGTGAGGAAGATTAGCCCTGAGCTAACATCTGTTGCCAATCCTCCAATCCTCAGCCAATCCTTTTGCCGAGGAAGATCGGCCTGGGCTAACATCTGTGCCCATCTTCCACCACCTTATATGCGGGACGCCTGCCACAGCATGGCTCCATGAGCAGTGCCTAGGTCTGTGCCCAGGATCAGAACCCGGGAACCCCAGGCCACCAAAGTGGAGCACACAAACTTAACCACTACACCACTGGGCCAGCCCCAGAGGGAGGATTAATTTCTGATTCCCGTTTTAAAGATGGATCTGGCTGCTGTGTGGAGGATGGATTTGACAGGTATTGAGAATAAGAACAGAAGGTGAGAGACCCATTGGAGAGGTTTGTGAGGTAACCTAGATGAGAGACAATCCCAGACTGAACCACAGTGTCAACAGTGGAGACAGAGAGAAGTGGTCACATGTGAGATATATGTTGGAGAGGGAACCACCAGGCCCGGGTAATGGGTTAGATGTAGGGGTGAGGGGAAAGGAGAAAGGTGGTGCTGTTTATTCAGACGTGTAGGGAGAGTGTGGGAGAAAACGAAGAGTCCTATTTTGGATATGTTAAGTCTGTGGCACAACGGTGGTGGCACCCTTCAGTGTGAAAGGCTCATTAATAGTTCAAGGGCAAACGTTCACAGAGGCCTAGGTGGCCAGGCACAGAGGATACAGAGATAAAGGGAGCCCAGTCCCGGCCCTACTCAAATCACTGTCTCAGACAAGTGCAACCAAGAAACACGTCTCAGGGGACCAAGTGCTGTGAGACAGAATCAGTTAGGATGTATCTGGCAGGAAATAACAGACAATTCTGACACAGTCTGGCTTAAACAATAAGGACATTCGTCATCACACACTACAAGGAGTCCAGTCTTCTAAAATCCTCTTTGCTTTGTCCTCTTCTGGATTTTGGCTTCATCATCAACTGGGAGCAAGATGTGCACAGTAGTTCCAGGCTTCCCATCCAGACCCAGCAACATTCAGAGTCAGAATGAGGTCCAGCTCTTTGGTGTCCCCTTCTTCCTCTTTTTTTTTTTTTTTTTTTTTGGTGAGGAAGATTCGCCCTGAGCTAACATCTGTGCCAGTCTTCCTCTATTTTGTATATGCGTTGCTGCCTCAGCACAGCTGATGGGTGGTGTAGGTCTGCGACTGGGATCCGAACCTGCGAACCCAGGCTGCTGAAGTGGAGCATGCCGAACTTAACCACTACATCACAGGGCTGTCTCCAGGTGTCTCCTTCTTAAGAGTGAGGGACCCTTTCCTGGAAGCCCCCCTAAGCAGATCTCTTACCAATTATTGGCCCCAAAGGAGTCACACATCTAACCCTAAACAAACCCTCTGGCAAGGAGAATAGGACCACCAGAAGTGGACTAGACCTGTCAGGATTTATTCCTAGAACTTGGGAAAGGGCCACCCTGAACAAATCAGGGCCCTGCCTGCAGGAAGATGGAAAAATGGCTGTTCCGCAGGAGCTCAAAGTGTCTGCCACACAGGAGAATGAACAGACTGCTGGGGGAGGGGGGGTGGGCAGAAGGCCATTTGATTTTTTTTTTTTTTAAAGATTTTATTTATTTATTTTTTTCCCCCAAAGCCCCAGTAGATAGTTGTATGTCATAGCTGCACATCCTTCTAGTTGCTGTATGTGGGACGTGGCCTCAGCATGGCTGGAGAAGCTGTGCGTCGGTGTGTGCCCGGGATCCGAACCCCGGCCGCCAGCAGCGGAGCACGCGCACTTAACCGCTAAGCCACGGGGCCGGCCCATGGGCCATTTGATTTTAAGAGCATCTTTTTTTAAGAGTTCAAGATTCTGCAGAGAACTTTTTTTATTTTAACCGTAATCACATAAATGTTTGAAAGAGAGAAAAATCTCTTTTTCTAAGCAAATTCACAACCTCCTGAAGTTAGGACTGTTGTCGACTTCCTTTGTCCCCACCCCCAACTCCCACCTTGTACACATGCTATTTTTCTATAGTAGCCAGCCTTCCTTCTTCATTTAACACTGCTCACAAGCATTTTCACAGGTGGTTGGCTCCCCTTGTCTCCGCAACTCTGAGTCCACCCCGTTAAGATTTCATCTAGCAGCTATGCCAAAATTCATGCTACCATATCCAGATACTGGGCACTTGTGTTCATTCCGCTGTTTCACTGTGATATTGATCACAGGCACGGCTGGACATACGGGGAAATTTCCTGCCATCAGTCCTGCTCCCCAACATCAAAAGTTAGAACACATCTCTCAGCCTCCTCTGTTACAAGGACATATGATGATCCAGGCTTCTCCAATCAGACACACCCATGTGATACTTTGAATGTGCCCAGCTTTGGGGGCAGGGGGAGAGAGAAAGTCATTTTCTTGATGCAGAAGTGGCTTCAGTGGGCCGGCCCTGTGGCTTGGTGGTTAAGTGCGCGCGCTGCAATGCTGGTGGCCCGGGTTCGGATCCCGGGTGCGCATCGAGGCGCCACTTCTCCG